AAAAAAAAGAGCGATTAACGCACAATGTATAACGCAATACTTTTTCTTGAAAATTAAAAAAAAAGATCTCACCATAGGCGCTTCCGGAGGAGCGATGCGAAGGCCTTGAGAGAGAATCCCTCCGTAATTGGCTGTAGCTGAACCATGCCATAAAAGCATTCGATTTCCAAGTTCAGCTTTAAATCTTTCATCTTCGCCTTCTCGATCTACACGAATGATCTGAGAAAAAAGCTTTTTTTCAAACTCAACATATAAGGTTATTGTCAAATATTACATCAACAATTTCAAGATCAAACATTGTGTGTGTTTCCCCATGAGTATTATCCATATACGCCTTGATAGTGTTAAATTCGGCTGAACCATGCTCCACAACCTGAAGTAAACAATGAACGACGAAAATATATGACATCAATGAACGACGAAAAGTTATGACATCACCAGCTCCTCACTTCCAATTTGCACTTGAGTTTTTCATAGTATACATCCACAGGATCTCGTTCTTTTTCAGTTTCTTCCTTAGTTTCCTCTTTAATAACCTGATACGCGATTTGCATGTCTAGAAGTGAGTCTAGCATAGCGCACTTTTCCTAAGTTAAAGATATTTGAAGGTTCTTTAATTGTCTAAAAAGTTTGAAAAGACAGACCTTGATTACATCGATAGATCTAAGCAGCGGTGGTTTGTCCATTCCAAAATTGTGAGGAATTAGAGTGTAAAAACGATTAGACGCATCAATTATTTTGATCTCATCTCGATCATCGATCATCAGCTATACCAGGTTTAGAAAATGCAAATTGAAGATAAATCCAAGATGAATTGAAAATTATCTTTCCCAGTAAAATTTTCAAAAAGAATGCAAGTCATAGTCGTTCTTAAATGGACTACCGTTTGTAGCTCCGTCAAGACAGAAAAGGCACTCGTGATCTGCTTTCTTGAAAGTTTGCCCAACGGCATCTTGTCCAAATCGAGCTAAAAAGTTTAAACCTTCCACAAGAAACTCCTGTACGTAATTAACCCACTTGAAAGCGAAGCATCTGGCTTCTCATCTGCTCTTTGTCAAATATCATAAGAAGAATGTCTTTAATAGAACGAGGAAGTTGGCTGAGTGATCCTGGGTCAACAGACGACACTTTACCTTCCTACAAGTTAAATTCAGCTGTAAGAAGCAACTAGAAAGAAAGGGAGAATCCCACCGATACACTGAAATCTGTATCCACTAGATCCATCCTTCCTGGTATTTTTTTGAAGTTGTCCTTATCCTCCCAGTTGTTACCGGATTTTTCCAAAAAAATCCTATAAGAACATATGTATTTAATGTTAATCTGAGACATGCACATATAAATATATATATATTTTTTTTCGTTCCTGTTCTTGTGACTTATCATCCCAGATGTGACAAAAAAGCACGTCAATTTCTACTGTAGCAACCGATGTTGAGTATTTCCTGCTTCTTTTTCACATTTTTTGGACTATTCCTGCGCCTTCAACCTGCTGTTTTTCGGCGAGAATATTCCCTTCGGGTGAGTGCAAAAACTGAAGGGAACTC